TGTGGATACTCACCATGTCTGTGGCGAAAGTGAAGAAATGTTCAACGATCCAAACATTTGAAGAGACAGCATAGCCGAAGATGTTTCCTTAGAGAGCAGCAACAGAGTCGATACATCTGTAAAAAGTTTATGGAATGTAAGGGTAAGAGATAAAAACGTTGTTTCAGTACTGTAAGAATCTCAAGGGCTTTTCTTACCAGAGCCAGTAATTTTTTTATAATTCATAATTCCCGAAAGTGTTCGAAGCAGGTTGCACCTGATGAGGATGTATATTTACCATGTGTTTTTATTTACCTTCTCGGCCGCCTCCCAAATGAATTCGAATTCGTCTAGTTCAACATGAGCGATACAACTCAAATGATAAGATAAAGATATTCTACTTAGACCAATAAGAATCTAAAAATATCGGCTTATTGTTCAGGTATTGTTTCTTTGTATACCTAAGACTATGAAAGCACTGTCTCCTAGAAAGATACAAGCATCTTTCCTTGATTCGTATTGGAAATGTTATGCCTGAATGTAGCAAATGGTCATCACTCAGCTCTGTCAGCACCCAGCACCTTGCTTTGGAGCCAGGGCTGCACATCAAAACTTCTTTCCCACAGCACGCGCTTTCACAGATTGGGTAGTACCAGCGCGGCATGATCTGATGAACTCTTATCAGCACGCTGTCCAGCCTGTCCGATTTTCCCACCACTTTGGTCCCTGGCTACCCCCTCCCGCCCCCACCCCGCGGGGCAGACGGCGCGTCGGGCGGCGACTTCAAAGGGGCGCGCCGTGCGAACATCAAACACCGGCGGCACCTCTAAGCGGCCCGCGCCACCCCCTTACCGTCCCTCCCCCTACAACCCCCCCCCGCTGGAAGGGTAATTAGCGGAGAAACACACGAGGGGGCCCGGGGCCGTCCGGCCGGCCGGGCGGCCGGACCGAGGGACACCCTCCGTGGCCACGTGCGACGCACTCTGCGGCGGTGTATGGGTTTGTTTTGACGCGGGATTTCCGGGAAACTGTGATGGCGGCTGGCAGAAAACGATGATTGGAGGCGGCACCGTCGGCTTACCACAATGGCCGCCGACCAAGGGACGTGCGGCGAGTGGTGTTCGCTCGGGCTGCGTCGGTCGGGGACCGACCACAGGCTCGGGCTGGCACGGCGGCGGCTCGGGTCGGGAGGTCATATGAGTTATATGACGCACACGGCTGGGGAGAGGGGAGACGCTCGCGGGAATCAGAGACCATGGAATTGGATTCGGCTGACTGAGATCACGTTCCGTGCGACAGCTCCAGAGACGGACGGCTCTTTCATCAGTAATTAATTAGGTCATAAAACAGACCCAGAAACGTACCACGCACTTGTTCATTCTTGGTGTAAGTTATCGACTACTGTTTCCGCAACAAAGCAACGCTGGAGCCGGTGATGTGATATGCGAGTTGAGAAAGAAAATTAGGCACACTTTATAATAACACCGGTAACAAATCAATAATAAAGAGCTTCCATACATTTTGTAAGATTGCCAGATCGCTTCGTCAAAGGCGCGTTGGCATCGTCGCATGGCATGACCTGTGATCCCACTCAGCTCTTGCCTCCCCACACGTGGTTTACCTACCGAGGTGGGACGGCCGTTTGGGGGCCATACGAACAGCACGACCGCCGAAATTATGCGCCTGCAGAGTCATGAACGCCAGCCCTGGACTCTACTCTGGTTGGCTCGTTCACTGGTCATCATTCAGATAGAATGTCTGAGACAGGTCGCAAATAATGTTAGCAAGCGCGATGCATCATTATTTCAACGAAAGAGACCCAATACACGCTGAAAACAGCAAAACCGCTTCCCTCGAGCAACTGTAAGTAACGATTGGCCACTATTCCCGAAAACTGCTGGTATGGGGAAGGGCGCGACACCCAGCAGGGCAGTAGCGGCGGAACACCTTCGGGGGGGGGGGGGGGCACTGCCGACTTTTGGTCCCATTCTTTCCATGCAACGCCCGTAGGGCTAAAGTTAAAATGCCAAAAGCAAAGGGGGGGGGGCACGGTGCCCCGGTGCCCTCCCCGTTCCGCCGCCTATGCAGCAGGGCCCAAATTTCCTCCATCTGACCACAGACCACCGTTAAAGCATTATGCTCGCTGACAGACTGGACGGAGAAGTCTCCGCCCTAACCGAACCAATCGCTCTGTGTCAGACATGCCACCGTGCCTCCGACACTCCAAATTTAATCACATTCCTGCGGTTTGTCATCTTGTCGACAAAGGACGCGGCACTGGGCCGGGCAGACTGCCTGGCGCCGGGCGTGCCCCTCCCTGACGGCGGCAGCACCCTTCCCGCCTCAGATAGTGTTCCCAGGGCACATCTGAAACCCATCCATCTCGTCGGCCCCGCCCAGCCCGCGCCGCGCCGTCACACTGACCGGTGCCCGCTCGGGTCGGCCGAGGGGGCATCTTCGGTACCGGTCCATCGGTCAGAGGTAATGCTTGACGTGACAGGCCACCCACGGCCCGGCCCGGGGACACCTGCTGAGCACGCTCCCCGTGTCCCCACGTCCCCCTACCCGCCCGCCCCGGAGCGGGACGGGTAGACAGCGGGGCGTCGAAGGGACCCCCGTCCCCCGCCCCACCGGTCACCCCTTCCGGCTGGGAAGGTGCTCCGCGGTGTGACCGGTCACAGGAAGGGACGGGATGCAGAAGGATTGAACCGATAGGAGACTGGGAAGATTTGACACAGCTGGTGACTTGCGGTTAACTTCACTGTGATTGTGCATTGGATGCTTTGGTGATACGAACCAAAGATGCTTACGAAGGCTAGAAAACAAATGTCAAGTCTCAGCATCAAGCGAATAACTGGGGCAATTTTTTTCTCTCTCAGATAAATAATCACAACAGACGACAGGGATCAGTTTTCTGGAAAAGTCAGGCTTCAACTCGGTTCGCCCGAGCTCAGATCAAACAACGATCAAGTCTGCAATATCAACATCAAACTCGAATACCCGTCATACCTTTACCATTCACTGGTGAATCCAGGGGGTGGGGGCATTTGATGCAAATGCTCCCCGCAGCGCCCAAAATCGACGAATAGCTGCCTTTTTCGAAAATAAAAAAATCACATATTTTGTTGGGAAAAGTTGAATGTAAACTGCACAGCAGTGTGTAAGGAAGCGAGACCCGATGAGTTTTTGGATTTTGAAGAAATTTTGGAGGGTATGATGTCCCTCCACAGCGTCCAAGAACCTCTTTCTGGATCCCCAGTGTTTTCATTAGCAGGCAGTAGGCACAGATACGGGCCCACTTAAATCATTGATTATAATTTATTCTGTCTTATTCCGGATAGACGCACACACCAACATGCAATTGCAAATGGTATATTCACTCAAGAGTCAAGAGTCACACAGGAAGGAACATATGTCCCTCCGATTTGACCGCTTAGATGGCTGAATCCAATATGTAAAGATTAAAGCAGCTTAATTTAGTTGGATTTCTTATTTCTCGTAATGAAGGTGTTCGACTCATCCTGTCATCCCGAATGAGTCTCAAATCTCAAATATCCCTCCTCACCAGGACTGCGGAGTCAGAGTCTGAGTCGAGAGTTGTGATCGGAGTTGGAGTCAAAATAGGAGTCGATTTAGGAAGTCGCCCGGAGCCGGAGTCGGAGTCGGAGTCGTCTAAAATCCATCGACTTCGCAGCCACGCCAGGTCTGCGGAGCTGGAGTCGGCCGGAGTCGACAATTCTGCTCGGAGTCGGAGCCTGAGTTGGCCTTTGAAAGCCGGAGTAGGAGTCGGCCTTGGTTTTTTAAAGCAAGAGTCGGAGTCGGAGTCGCCGAAAATCCATCGACTCCGCAGGCCTCCTTACTAACGAGGAACTCTGAGCTCACTGGTTACGGCCCTTTACGGGCTTCTCTACACATAGGTAGCAGGCTTCCTCATCCGCAAGACACCAGAAGCGACACCTGACAGATACATCTAGGCATAAGATCACAGTGCACTTCGTATGTCTTAACATTGGTCGTAATTGGTTGCATTGGTCGTACCAATGCGTTGCATTGGTACGACCAATGCAACGCAGGCTTGATGCTCGATGCGAATCAGAAGCGGCAGGCATTGTCCAATTCCATACCGGCAAACGTGGGCCAAAATTGCCGATTTACCGGTATGCATAACCGAAGTGGTGTGGACGCAACCTTCATCTTCGACATAAAAAAACGTTTTAATTGAACTGAGCACTAAACACATCTATTTCGATGTTAATAAACTCTTGCCGAAGCTCGAAGTCTCCCGCAATCTAAGCATTCAACCGCAGGAGGGTTCGTATGCCGACTCCATTCTGAAGACTCTCCTAGGGAACGGGACCAACTAGGAGGGGAGGAACGCACAATTAGCTCATCTTCAGACTCCATACAGCGCCATTCACCCAATGTTGAAATTTGACATCTGGCACCAATTGAAAAAGTATGATCCCGTGTCGTGCTCTGCTGCTGCGACAAGTGACCACCAACTAATTTGTTTCGTTCGATCACAAGGCACAGCCCTGGCAAACTCATGTGGGATTCAGTCCCTCCTCCCCAGTCCCGACATCTCATAACGCTGCAGAAGCGCTGCAACAGGCATCTACTACCCACTACCCCTTGCGCTTATCAGTAAGCCCTGCGGACTAACCTTCCAATTGGACTTCCATTCCATATTGATATTTGTTGAAGCGCTTGGACTACCGGAACAACGCAAAACACTTCCTGTAATGCTGCCTTTCTCGGTAACCCCTAACAATCAATATGACAACCAATGCAATCCCAAACATGAATTTGTTTTGAAACTAGGTGCTTTCCTATCTCACCACCGAGGGCGCAAGGTGACGGGACCAGCCGGGCTCAGGTGTCCGACCGTGCGGCTAAGCTCCGCCCACCGGTCGCTGATTGGCTGGCGCTGCGCCCGAGACGGCTCGTGGGCCAGCGCCCCGGGCGTCTCGTGCGGATGGCTACCGCTAGGGTGACAGATTCCCGTGTGAAATGCGTTAGTATCGTTGACGTGTTGTTGAGCGTCGGTTGGTCTTAGCTATTCGTTAGTGTTTCAACGGAGGGTGACCTGTGCGGTTGGTGAACTACGTTGGGTCAATTGCTGGTAAGTTCCTTGTCATTCGGGTATAGCGCCTGGAGGCCGCGTTTGCCGGTCCCTGCACGCGGGGCCCGGGAAGCATGTTTTGCAACTGTGGTCATCCAAGGCTCAACCAAGGATAATTGATTTCTCTTGTCTTATTAGCTGATGTGTATTTTGGCATGGACGATGAAATTAAGGCATCAAAATGCCATTTTCGTACTAGCCAAGCCTATATTGATATTGTACTTGTGTCACTTGGATACCATAACTGCTATTTCTTAGGGCTGCGGAGTCGATGGATTTTAGGGTGACTCCGACTCCGACTTAGACTCTGGCTTCAAAAATCGACTCCGATTCCCGACTCCAACTCTGACTCCGACTCCGGACGGTTCTATTAAAATACATATGATATTATAATGGATGTTTTTTATCTTGCCTGATACGGTCTCTTGCGCGTTCCAAGGATTTTCGTTGCAAATATGCATTAGAAATGATATGCAGAATTAAAAAGTAGGTTCTGGGGAATTCACCGTCTTCAGCTTTTTTCGCTGAAAACGTTCGTCCAAAACAGCAAAATGCATAGACCCGGGAACAGGGGGGGGGGGGGGCAGCGGGGGCGCTTGCCCCCCCAACTTGGGAGCCGAGGGGGCGGCGCCCCCTCAACATTGAGGCAGCGAGAAAAGATCTTTCCTCCCTTTTCCGGACTTCTTTCCTTCTTGTTTCTTTTATGCATCTAAACATCAACACACGGCATTTTCCTTGCCATCTGAATGGTTTCTGCTGATACAATGTCGATTTGACAACATCTGCTATTGTCATCCCGCTTTGATTTGGGCCTGACCTTGGCCATAAGTTTGGCAGGCCAGATTTTATACTGTACCAGCTTGAGTCAGCTTTGAGAAATACATAACGTACAACGGTGGTAAAATCGTTGCTATAGGTATAACACAGTTTACCCGCTCCGGGTGAGATGGAGGGGTGTAGGGCAATGAGTGCACTGACGTGGCGCCCTCGGAGGGCCGGTATGGGATTAAAGCTCAGCGACACTAAGGGCTTATGTGGTGCCTTCAGTTATCGGTAGCACCCTCAGAATCACCGGCGTAAGGGCCCTCAGAGCCGCCGGTAAGGGGCCTTTAGAGGCACTGATCATGGTGTGGGGCCGCCATACACTATGCAGGTGCCGGTGTGGGCGCTGAGGTGCTAGTGTGATTCTCTCAGAGGCGCCGGTGAGGGTCCTTACAGGCGTTGCTGTGGGCCCTCATAGACGCTGGTGTGGAGCCGTTACAGACGGGTGTGGGGTCTTTTGAGCTGCTGACGCGAACCCTCTACAAGGCGGCAGGAGGTTCTCAGTGATCGGCAAGGGGCCCTTAGGCCGGCAGAAGAAGTCCTGTGGGGTCCTTGGAGACCGGCATGGTACTGTCAGACGCCGGTGGGGGCCCTCAGGGCTCAGAGTCGCCGGTGTGGGGCCCTCAAGTCACCAGTGGGTGGCCTTTAGATGCGTAGGTGTTGGTTGGGTCCCCAGAGCCGCCGATATAGGGCTTTAATAGGCACTGGTGTAGGCACTCGGAGTTGGGGGTGTGAAACGCTCAGAGGCACCGGTGTGGGCCCTCATAGGCGCCGATGAGGGCCCCCACAGTTGCCGTTATGGGGCCCGCAGAAAAATAAGTGTGTGACCATCACAGGCGGGAAATGCCCCTAGAACTGGCCCCTCATAGGCCGGTAGAACTCTCAGAGGCCAGTAACGGGCCTTTGGAGACCACCGAGGGGCCCTTTAAGTCTGCAAAAGGCCCTCAGAAGCCGGCGTGGGGCCCTTATGGAGATCTTAGTGTGGCTATTTAGGGTCCATGAGGTGCTCTAACGAGCCCCATGGGGCCCTTCTGAGTAGAAATATGGCCATCGTTAACTCTCAGCGGTCAAATGGCGCCGCAGGGCCCCTCGGACCCGAGGGTCCCTTTGAACCCGATGGGGGGGGGGGGGGTACGTGTCCCCTTAGACTCCTAGCTACGCCACTGTTTCATATGCATCATGTCAGGCATTTTAGGCTCGCCCCCCCAACTTGAAAATCGTTCCCGGGCCCCTGGCAAAATGACCTTTTTTCCCACAAAGTCTAACTTCGAGCGCAGTATCGTCATTTAAACAGCTGCAGTGCATGACGCTGAGCCATGCAGCGTTAACTCCGACTCCGACGAACTGTCGACTCCGACCGACTCCAACTCCGACTCCGACTCCGCAGCCCTGTTATATCTGATCACAAAGTGCGCTAATACCCCTATAAAGTTGTAAATTTGCGGAACCGTTCATCCGACAAATACCTTTGACCCTCCCGTCCCTTGTGGTGTGACCTCTGTTCGTGCTGAAACTTGCTGGTTTTATAATAACCGGCCTTAAAATGACATTGAATAGCTTTGGAATGCCTGTTTCATGCAAAATAATATGTCTGTAATGATAGGAATTGATTCAGTGTGGCATTTTATTCAACTTTATAATCGGACATTGTGGGTTTGACGACTTTTTGCCCCACCAACTTCCCTGGAAAAGCTCCACCCATGCGCAGAACGGATCTTAGCACACAGCTCGCGCGCCGATGCTCCTGAATTGGAAGCACGCTGATTGATTTCCTGCACGTGCCCATACAAAATCACTACCGGATGCACTTTGTTTTTCGTTTCCGGTGTCCCGTCAGCTGATGCCTCAGTCAGCTGTTGTCAATCATTCGTGAAAGAACGTCGGTGGTGGGGGGGGGGGGTGCTCTGTTGCCTGTTGAGTGTTTGGCTAGGAATCAAGTATCAACCCTTTTCATCATCTGCGAACTACCGGTTTCTGAATAACAGCTGGTTATCTTTCGTTTTTTATTTCGTTTTGCAGGTGCTGAACGATGGCGATGCTGCCGATGCCGATGGGTCCCACTCCCGGTGGACCGTTCTCATACGGCTACCCCCCGAGCACCTTCTACGGCGACTTCCCCGTGTTGGAGGTGGGCGGCCTGCTGCCGCCGCCGCTGGACCCGCTCTACTTCAACTTCATGCCGCCCGTCTGCGCGCCGGGGTTCTTCCCGGCGCGCATGGAGGCCGTCCAGCCGCCGGCGGAGCAGTACGGCGGGGTGCTGCTGCCGCCGCCGCCGCCGCCGCCGCCGCCGCCGCAGACGGCGCCGTTAACGGTCATGCTGACCAGCGCTGACCGTGCCTGCTCGCCGCCGTCACCACCGCCGCGGCAGACGATGGCGGTAACGACGATGCCGTCGTGCCTGCTGACGCCGCCGTCATCGATGCCGTCGTGCCTGCTGACGCCGCCGCCGACGATGCCGTCGTGCCTGCTGACGCCTCCGAGCACTCCCGAGCCGGTGGTGTGGGTGCGGCCGCGCCTGGCGCCGGCGCCGGTGGCCGACCCGCGCACTCTGGCCGAGGTGCACAGCCCCGGCTGCGTGCAGCAGTGGACCAAGGGCCTCCGGTTGGGTGAGTACAGCCGTCCGCCCGCTCGTCGGGCCGGGTTGGGGGTGACAGGTCGGCGTGGGGTTGACTGTTTGAGTTTGTTGATGATCAGGGGTTGTGGTTGGTGATCCAGGGTGTCATACGGTGCTGTTTCAATGCTCCACTTCAGCCGGTTTTACGACGGTGGCCTCATACACATTTGGTGTGATTTGGCCATTCATCAACTTTGCATGGTGTGTGAAATTTTTTGACCCTGTCTAGTATCTACATTAGGTCAGGTCACCAGGGTATGTTAACCTTCGCCCGGGTGTGTGTGTGTGTGGGAGGGGGGGGGGGCGTTTTTGATTACACCTGACTAGTTTTTTTTGCAAGTGTTAAGAAAACCGCGGCGTGCATCGCCCGAGAAACTTTGTTTAGTTTATGATACACCAATTTCGCATCGTGTGTATAAATATTAACCCCAGGTCACATGAGGTCATGTCACCAAGTCAAGTTATCTTACAATGCCTTTAAAAAAGTGTGATTCAGTCATTCCTACAGTATACATCCCAGAAGTTTCGATCTCAAGCTATTGCATGAGGGAATCAGTACCAACAATATGTTTCTCTCGGAATTTTGATGCCGGTGCCCTAAGGGTGAGGTCAATTTTGTGACCTCGCCATTATAAGTCTGGGGGAAAATTGAGACGCTCCTCATTTGGCCGAAAACACTCAAACATCGGGACCCAGATGAACATGACCCACTGAACAGGAAAATTGCACATGTGACCCCGTGGTCACCCATGAGGTCATCTTAGGTCATGAAATGTCTACAACAGTTTTTTGACTAACTTGAGCTAGTAATATGCTAGAGCGCTCAATTGAAATTCCATGAATGTGTTCAGCTCAACAATGCAAATCGAGTGACATGTAACATGACCTTTTCCGTAACCTTGGCCTGAGGTAATTTTTTTTAAGTTGACCTCTGTTCATTCGACGCGTCTCGACGAGTCAAACGTGATGCCGGTAAAATCAGTGAATACAAGCTCTTAGTCCTAAGCTATACAAAAACCTTTTTGCGCTTAAACGTTTAATTTTGAGTTTTTGTGCTCTGAAGGCTAAGGTGAAATCTGAGCGCAACACACAGAAAGTCATTTGAAAAGGCTATCGAATGCGCTTTTCCGCAGCGCTGTAGCTCTATTGGCTCCCGACTTATGCGCCGGTTTGTGAAAAGGTGTTCAAATGGGGAACAGGAATTCGTGAAAATTTTACATTCGGCGACCTCGAGTGACCTCAGCGATCACCTGATCACAAATGACGTATGATTCTGAAAGATCTTGTAGCGAGTTATATCTTGCCTTTTACCTTGTCTTTGTAGCTCGTTAACCTTCGGAGATGATAACCCGGTGACTGGTGTGGCCAAGAAGGCCCCCCACCCTGGCGAAGTTGGCTGAGAGGCCCATTCGGTCGCGGGTTAGGTGGCCATGCCTCTATAACACTTCTTGAGTCTGCAATTTCTGTAGTTTATCTCCCTAGCCTTAATTGGGGAATGGCATGGTGTAATCGGTGCCAACAATTTGTATATCTCGGAACTTTGATATCGATGGCAATATGTCAGATAATTTTTTTTTCGGCTTCTCCATTATAAGCCAATAGGAGAAAATTGAAATCTTCTTTCGGAGGAAAGTCTTACTTAACACTCTTAAACATTGAGACACTAAATCGGAAACTTGCAACCGTGATCCCCTATTATGCCCCTGAGGTTATCTCAGGGCATGAGATGTCTCCAGCTGTTTTTTTTTGTCAACAGCTTAGATAAACTTTACGAATCGACTGATACGCGACATGACCTTTTGCGTGACCTTGGCCTTAGGTCAAAATTGTAAGCTGATTTTTCCCAGGTCAACTTATAGTTAATTATGAACAGTCTCTACGAAGTCGAACAAAAGAAACTCGATGTCGCCGCCGTTAAAATCATGGTGATACAAGCTTGTTGTCAAAAATTAATTGAAAAATAACTCCCGCCAAAAAGAAAAGAAAAATATATTGACGGGAGGTCAAATGCAAGAGCATTACTCAGATTGTTTCGAATGTGATTTTCAGCAGGGCTGTAGCTAGGTATTCGTTACTAAGTGATGTGCCAATATTACATTCTTTTTTTTTTAAAGTTTGCCTTGGGCCAGAGCGATAGTAGCCGTTTTCACGACGCGCTTTCTGGCGATTGCACCAAATTCTCACCAAATCTGCACCTAATCTCTATTATAACAAATATCTTCATATGATGAGTTTATTTCATTGTTTCATTAGATGACAATGTGTGATGATATGACGAGGCAGGTATACAAGCAATCATAGCTGACTGCTTCTTAGAAACACAAAGCCTAATTTCACCAAATCTGAACCAAATCTGCACCTATGTAATCTCCACCAAATGCGAACCAAATGTCCTGTGAAAACGGCTAATATGACTTGGCCATCATGACACAATGAGGTAAATATGGAGCTTGTTTTATAGCGCTGGCTCTGCCCAACTTCATACACCTTGCTTATCAATGACATCACTCGTCAAACAGCGTGTTCGGCGCCCCGTCTCCCGCATTGCTCTCGGCTGCAGACATTCAGAGCAGTCTCAGTGCATCGATTGGTCGTTCGATAGCGCTGCAGCGCTGTCGTCAGGACCAAGTCGGCGACAGTGCGCGTCAGGGAGTCCCCGACGAGTCCCGTCGTTCACAGGCGGGTCAGATTCACTTCCTGCGCACTGGCGGCGAGATATCGGCGCACTGGCGGCGCGCCAGCCGGCCGCAATGGTGCCGATGACGTAGTGAGCGGCTGAGCGCCTGTGTTGTCCTCGAGCAATAATATGGTGATTCGGTCCTGGTTTATTTACTGTTCCCGGGTTTGCTTTCTTGTTTTGATATTGCTCTTATAAACCGGTGACAAAAAAGATCCAGTTCACCTAATGCTAAATCATATTAAATTGTTATCCGAAATTTATTACGTGGGCAATGGGTTTTGGAGCTATGACCCACAGAAGGCAAGTGTTGGACTGACTTAAAGGAAATAGTTCACTTTCCTGAAATTAGTATTTTGCTATGGATTCATGTTTTTTTATGCTCAAAATGATCAGAAAATAAAACAAAACGTTTTTGCAAAAAGGATTATTTTCTATATTTTAGTATAAGAAGAACTATATTTTATATAAAATAATGTTTGACGCGGAAGCTTATTACGCGTTGACCAATCATATTGCGTAGGACAAACCCATCGGCTGTAAGCAGCATTCTGATTGGCTGACGATGACGTGACTGCATTCCTCAGCAAGGCACGCATTCCTCTGCAAGGCACTCTTTTCGGAACGAAAAATGGAATATCTTCGTCTAGGGTGATCGTTGGGCCGTAAAAGCTTCTGATTTGTGCTAGTCTCAGCGCAAGCAACAAAACTGCTATTCCAGTTCCAAACCCCATGTTAAAAGTGAACTATTTCCTTTAAGATTTAAAAAAAAACATTTGTGTAGATTGAGACATGCATTTTTTTCTTTATAAATTGTGTATGTGTATGTAAATTGATTTGCAACGTTGTTTTGAGCGCAAGTATTCCTTTTGCAACATTAGCGGCACATTGACCGCAAACTTTACGACACTGGGCCTCACCCCTCTCCATTCCTTCCATCCCTACTCCTCCCTCCGAGCGACCCGGGGGGGCGGGGGAGGTCAGCACGCGCTGTCTCCCCTCCGGCGGTGTGTCGTGGTGTCACCTGACACCCGTACTATGTCAGCACTGAGCTGGCGCCGGTGCCGTGTCGGCCGCGCCAGAAATGGCCACGGTCAACGGCGGCGGCGCGACGGGGGCGGGTCGGGTCAGATGAGCCACGGCACGGCTGTGCGTTGCAGGTTGGCGTTGTCCCGTCAGGATGGCAACAACTCGTGATTATTGGGGCAAGATTTGCTGGAAATTATAGCATACTTTGAAACAGGGAGAGGGAGTTGGGTCAATGACCTGTTTTGCAATGTTGTCATATACGGATGTCCGCCGTCTGCTCGGAATCTTAGATCGCCCTTCAAAGGCTTGGACGTACGCATCAAGCCGTGCGTGGGTTCCAATCGTTCAGAATACTCAATTCTAAAAGAAGTGCAAGGTCGTGACATAAGTGCGAAAATAAAACATTTAAACTATTTTGAAATTTGATTTGTCGCTGTCTGTACCATTGCCATTGACAGCAGGTCACTCAAATCACCTTGCTAGCAATGTTTATATACATTATATACATTATTATATATTATGTATGTTGCTCTACACGGAGCCTCCAATTCCTCACCTCACCTCGCTTTGCGGCCTCATCGAATAGCCCTAGGTGCATGAAGGGAAGGGATGGCGTCCCCCTACTCTGACGAGAGACGCCTGGGCGCTGGCCGTACCACGCTAAATCACCGCGCTGGTAGCACGCCGTGGAAGATTTAGGGGGTGGGTTCAGGGTGTCGACCTTTTGGTGAGGGCGGCGTCTCGTCGCTCCCTCAGAGGTCGGGTGGTGTGCCCTGTTTCACGGGTCGAAACAGACCGTTTGGATCGCCTTAGTTACATGGTGAGATCAGGTTGCCAGTATGATTCAATGGGAGTCGATATGCTCAGTGGATAAGGACCGTGAGAGTCGCGTAGTGTACTGTGTAGGCTGAGTCGCTGACTCTTTGTACGGCCAGTAGCTCATTTGTTGAGGCGTGGGAACGGTGTAATAGTTGAAATGTGAAGCTTTGATAGCACATACGGTTTTAAGGTGATTGGGTGGGGTTTGACTGGACAGTGTTACACTGAATTCGGGGGTTAGGGTTAGTGGTGCCAGTTTTAGGAAATGTGTGTCCAATGTCCGTACAACGCCCGGAATGTTTGTCCAACAATATCGAAGCCAGACATTTTCCAAAGATGTCCGAAAACTACGCATTAATTTACACTCCACACTGTTATTTAATTCGCTTTAAAGTTAATATTACCAGCCCAAAAGCGTTAATCATGTCGATTAATGATATTTCTATTCGCCAATCAATATTATACCT